CGCCCCAGACCCAAGCACAAACACCCCATCTCCCTCAGCAGCAACAAGGAAGGTCCCCTCCCAGCACGCCGAAACGTCCCTGAACGTCTCGCAAGACCGTCCCCTTCCATCCTCGTTTACAACAACTCTCCGGAATCTCGTCAAGGCATCCCCGGGCTCAACACCACATCTCCCGTCCTCGTTACCACCCGCCGCGTACACGGCTCCATTGGAGAATAGAAGAAGGGTGTGGTTTCCACCTGCAGCTATGCGGCGAAGGTAATTGGCTGATTTACCTTCAGTTGACTGTAGAACTTCTGGTTCTGGTGCTTCAAATAAACATCTAGTTGGGATTGAGACGTCTTCGTCGTGCCCGATGCCTAATTGGCCGGATCCATTGGACCCGAAGGCGAAGAGGGGCATGCCAGCTTTATGTGGTTGTGGGAGCCGCTGAGGCGGGTTGAGATTATAGTAGATTGTGTGTCTTGATGGTGTACTTTCATTGATTGCGATATCGAGAGAGAAGTTGTATAATATCAGTACATCATTCTGATGGTATAGTGGGGTTGATTTCTTGTCTGAGTAGTTGTTTTATGTATCTTTTGGGATACCGCCTACTGTTTGTGGATGGAATTGACATACGGATAAATGGATTTTTGAACGGTCACCTGATCCCAAGGGCGGAGAATATCTTACTTTTATTGCATTCAGGAAGATTGCGTCGGAGATTTAATTAGGAAAATAATGTGTGATGATCCAGCACGCTATTGATTGGGGTATGCAACATTAGACAAGTCTATACTATATACGCGGGTATTCACAGCACCCAATGCACATTGCTCTCGTCAACCGATTCAACGTCGTCACAAAAGAAGGAAAATTAAGCTATACAGATAAAGAGACGAGAGGACTCCATGCATAAGAACATGCCACATCCCACAACAGTCAAAAGAAACTCAGCAAATGGGTATCAAAGCGCTCAGGTGGATTTTTCAGACTTTTCGTTGAAAGACATAGTCGAGTCATCTTCCTGGGCCGCGGGAGGTAGGGCGAAGTTATCCGACTTCGAGTTCTGCTCCATCGGGCGGAACATGGGGCTAGTCCGATGGAAGTACGCGTGGACGTGTCCTTCCAAGAGGCTCTCGTCGGTATCCATGGCGAGGTCCTCACCCTTATTCTTCTCAGCGATACGAGCAGCCATGGCAGATTCCCATTCGGCACGGTACTCCTCGACCTTCTGCTTGTAATCGGCATCAGCATCGTAGAGCTTGCCCTTGCCCATCAGGCGTTCCCAGAGGGACAAGTGCTTCGGGTGGACAGCGGGACCGTGGTATTCATGCTCACGGCCGTCGCGAATGTACTGCCAGCGACGCTCCTGTTCCTTGAGATCCAGTCCAGTGGTGTCGGGGAGGAAGACGTAGGTCAGGACCATGCCCGCAAGACCGAACCAGGGAACCACGTAGAACTTGGTCTGCGTGTCGATGTAGTTGTACAGAACCGACGCCAAAAGAGCACCAGCCTTACCGGCGGCGGCAGAAAGACCGTGAGCGGTGGCACGAATCGGAGTGGGGAAAACCTCCGCGGCAACCAGGAAGGTCACCGAGTTAGGGCCAAACTGGTTGAAGAAGGAGCTCAGGAAGTACATGGTTTGGAACTCCTTAATGTGCTCCGGCGAGGTGTAGTACTTGTAGTGGAAGGCGGGAACGACGAAGAGGACGAAGCACATCAAGAAACCGACCATCTGCATCCACTTGCGGCCGTAGAGCTTGTTGTCGATCAGGAACGAGGCGAGATAGTAGCCGACCAGCGAGACACCGACGTTGCACAAGTTCCACAGCCAGGTTGGCATGATCGACTTGGAGGCGGGGCTGATTACCGAAATGAATTCCGACTGGAAGAGCTTGTTGCCGTAGAAAAACACATCGTTGGCGAACCAGCCACCGGCAGTCGCCAAGATACGGGGTCCAAAGTACTTGAAGGTCAATGCCAAAGAGTTGAAATCGTAGCCAGTCACGGATGCCTTCTTCTTCGCCGCCGCCAACTGCTTGCTAGCCGCCTTCATGTGGTAGGCACGGTAGTAGACCAGCCACAGAGTGCCAGCCGCCGGAATGGCAAATGAGATACGGTACACCCATTGAGCGGACACAGCCGAGTAGGGAGGGTTACCGCTGCCGTGGTGGAAGCACAGCAACAAGATGATGAGGATGACCTGGTTGAAGAACTGACCCCAACCCTGCATCAGGAAAGCGCTAGTGACCTTCCTACCGCGATGGAGACGGTCCTCCTTGGTCGAGACTTTTCCAGAACCCACGGCATTCTCCATACCACTGGTAGCGGTCATGGGATATTCACCACCAACACCAATACCGTAGAAGAACAGCGACCAAGCGTAGCAGATCACCCAGCCATTCTGCGTCACACCCCAGGCCGCGGTAAGCATGATCAAACCGATAAACATGATAGTGGCATCCTGAATCAGACCCCAACGACGACCAAGCCTAGAAACACGTTAGAAATCCATGGCCGACCAATCAGAAGCATCCAATAGAAGAGAGGTGCATACCAGTCACCGATGACACCGACCAAGATCTGACCCACAATGATACCGATGATCTCGAGGTAGTCGATGGCGTTCAGCCATTGCGCATTGCAGATTTTGTGATCCTTCCAACACGACTTGAAGGCAGCCTGGAAGAGGGGCTTGACGTTTCCGATGGAGAAGAGCACGTAACTAGAGCGCTCATGGGTTAGCGTCCGACCAGTTCTGCGCGACGGAGACAGCACTTACCCCTCCAGACCGAGACCAGCACCGGGAAGCACCATGTTGCGGAAGTAATAGGAGATGGGCGACAAGGGATCTTGCTTGGTCATTTCCCAAATGCTGCTTAGTTCGCGCTTGGCTTCCTGCGCATCGTAGGAGCCCACGAACTTGAGCTTCTTCAAGAGGGGCAAGTCGGCCCAGTAGGTGCCGTCCGGGGTATAGCTGTCATCGGGGCGAATCAGCGCGTCGAAAGCACCCTTCTCGTGGTGATCCATGTCCTCGAGGGGATTGTGATTTCCCGACATATCGGGCCCATGGGGGGCACGAGGTCCAAAGTCGGCCATCTAGTCGTCGACAGGTGAGACTGGGCAGGAAGCGACTATCACAACGGTTGATCTTGGCCTGCGAGATGAGAGGTTGAGAGCTGGTTAAGCACTCTTGGTACCCCTAAGGAAATGAAGATGACCGTGAGGAGGCGTTGGACACGACGCAGGCCAAGTCGGACAGGCGCGAGGTTAACTTATATGCAAACGGACGAGAGCACCCGAAATTTCTCTGGGCAGAGGCAACCCTCCACCAGCCCGCCTTCGGGGTCCAGGCACATGGCCGAATGGCGGTTTGTGATAAGCCAATGCAGGTCTGGTTAGATCCAGAGTAGTGGCGAGGATCCACGCTGGGCCAAGAGAGACAGTCGTCTTGACAGTGGAAAGGCCGGCGGACCACTTCGAGAGAGTTCGCCTGGGCCGAGAAGGAAGGGCCCATCGAGGCCAATGACAAGACCGGAACATTTTCCTGGTGGATGACATTGCCTACGACGTTTCGGCCGTAGTGAGTGTGTGATGTGGGTAACTGAGTGGTTCTTTTTTAGGGCACGTTTTTTCTTCTTTTCGTTTTGGGAAAAAAGATTTTTTTGAACCGGAATTGAACGAAGAAAAAAACAAAAAGAAAGCCACTAAACCTGTACGGGGGAAACTGGCGGAACCCACGTTACAAGCGCGGAAGGCGGAGCTTCTTCTGCATCCTTTCGCATTTAGACTCCGTGGATCAACTTCCGCCATCGTCCAATGATTGATGCACGTGGCGGCAGAACTCAGCAGATCCCCCACCACCGCCTTCTACATGAAGTTTCCCCCCAGTTTTCGCGTCCGCCAATCGTTGTCCCTCCCATTGCACACGCCCACGGAGACTTGCCTGGTCGTCTCATGCTTTCTCTGCTTTTTTCTGCTTTCTCCGGCTTCCGGCACGACTTCTTACCCCAATAGGGGAAAATTAGTCTGGTGATACTGATCTGGATGCACAGAAGACCCATCGTCAGTTCCCTGGGTGTTCCAAGGTATCCGTGCTCTGACCTCCGCTGAGATTGAGATATGTCATAGTCATGGGAGCTTATTCCACAGAGCCATCCGTGACAATCTGATCTAAATTCATTGATTGGGTTACGTTGATATTATTAGGCACCTCTTTTGCCTACTACAGATTATCCGTGCACGACCCCGTGCCGGTTGTTACCCTTACATCATGTACGATGGTCGAAGGACGACGACTGCATGGATGGACACTTGTACAACAACGATCCCGATCTTGAACAACGTAATGGGAGTTTCCCCATCGAGTATCTGCTCGTGCCGTCTTCTGCCTATTCTGGCGAGGGTCACACATACCAAGAAACCAAGCCCCCTCCATCTTGCATGCCAAGCGAAAGAATGAACTCAAGTCCCGGCTGTCGTGAACACGAATTCACGACTGAGACGGGGACACATCCTCGCTGACGGGCCGGTACCTACTCGTGGACAAAGTCTATCTCGTTTTTAGCCTGGCTGGTGGATAAGCCACCTGCATGGCATCTTGGCACCGGTCCGGGGTCTGGCAGCCAGTCAGAGTGCCCGCTGCGACCACGTTCCCCGTGGCACGCTGATAAGTGCGGAGGGCCCTTGTTCGATATGATTATGGAGTACTAGTACTCTGATCGCGAAGTGGACCCTCTCCCCCTTTGCTGTGGTCAAAGTTAACGCGACGACATTCTGATACCAGACCACATGGTCAGTTCTCCCCTTGCGGCTTGTTCACGACGGATATGACGGAGATTGCCCTGCTCTGATGGTCTTGCCGCTTCGAGGAAGAGTTCCATGGCTTCATTAAGTGTCTAGCCTACCGTCAAACCAATCAACAGGAAGGAACCAATATGCTCGTGTCGTCATGAGGAAGCAGAAGACTTGAGCGCTTACTTAGTACTAACACATCCTGAACCCCTAATGGCCACTGGACCAGTCATGTCAATCGAACCTTTCCTGCTTGATAGTGGGTCTATGCCTCCGTTCTATTTTGACGCATTCTTGCTGATCCAAATAATCATATGGTTCCGTTTTATCAAACACATGCGTCGATGCCCTTGAAACATTGGCTCCTTCACGTCCCACTCATCCGAATGCCCCTGGTCTGATACCCGGCTTATGGTAGCTCGCTTGAGCCCGGTGAACAAAGACCGCAAGAAACTACTGCATCATGATCATTCCATGGGCTTCAGAGTACCGAACCAGAACTACTGACTATCAAATCCTTCGTCGATAATCTAATTAGGTTGCGCCACCTCAGGTCGCCCATCGCCATGGCTTCTTGGACAAGTCTTAGCGAGGCTTAACCCTCTGGTCTGTTGCTTAGCTGATGATTATGACGAGCCAACGGCAGCCAAGAACAGGATCAGAAGGTCTCACAAATGAAACGCATTGGAAGGCAGCCTTGTCAGGCGAGTATCATTACATGACTCTCAGTCGGTAGCCTCCAGTTCATACTTCGGCCACTCCGATCTCCTGATTGTTCATTTCGCAGCTCATCATTTCCCATCTCTTTCTTCGCCCCTTTTCCCGTTAACCTTTCCCACCTGCAGCTAATAATGAAGAAGCACCAACGAGGTCCAGTCCACGTACCCATGTGCTATCCTTCCACCAATGGCTTGCTGCCGTGCTGCGCCCTTTCCATTCTAGAAGCTCCTTGCATGTCATCTACCCGAATGCGTCAGGCTGATTCCAGACCCAGACGCTTATATCCGCTGAAAGCTTCTGCATGTTCCATACTGCCCCCAACATACGTGGCCAGACCCCCATGTGGCGCAAACCTTACACACCAAGGGAATGTAAACGATGAGGACGCTAGCCGTAGCCGAGATTCCGAGACGCAGCCAGAACATAGCGCCTGAGGGCCCTGATCACCCCTAGTTCATGCAAAACAGGCGTTGACTCCGTGTGCTTAACGCGGCTATCCTGGATCGATGTAGTCACTCCCCTTACAGACCTACTATTGCCGGTTTCACGCTATTCCGGTAAAAGGCCCGGTCAGCCGAAGACACCAATAATCTGTTTCCCATTGGAAATTGCCATCCGAGTCATTAAAAACGGGTCCTTAGCGAGTAGTTCTATAATCCAGTCACCTCTGCATGCAAGAGGGTTACATCGTCAGGTGATACAACAGTTTGTCAGACATCCATCATATCATTCTTATAAATACCCGCATGCGCCCTTGCGTAACGGAGAGCGATATCCAGCAGGCACTATGCATACACCCTCAGAAAATCACGCTTCTATACGTCTGTAGCTGTCACAAACAAGCTAGTCTCTTTTTTCTGCTCCCAGATCGGGGGATCGGTCACATGCCATCTGACGCTTTCTCGTATCTGCATACAAGCTCGGTATATGATTATGCACGCCAGTCGATCGCGGCATGCAATCAGCCTTTTTCATTTATCTCTTTCTAATATAGGCATCTGCCCTGTTGTGCAGCTTCTGCGGCGGTGCTATCACTCTTCAGTGGTTTTGATGGACAGAGGCCACGGCAGATTGATTATATCGTAACGATTCCGCGTAGCCCTTGGCCATCTCACCCACTACCGGATGTTGACTAGCTAGACCGACTCTTGGTATAATTACGATGTTTGACATTTTATGTTTCTTGGTCAAGGTCTAGATATATCTAGAGTATAGTTGACTTAATTTTGTGGGTCTCCGCCCCGATATATGTGCCAACATGGGAGAGAGTTCGAGTACGGTATATTGACTCGGGTGATACGCCATTGAGATTATTGACTGAGGTAAAGACCATGTCCCTGGGGAGTTAATCTCTCTCAGATAGTGAATGTCCAGAAAATATGTAGTATAACTGCATCTGATATCGTTTTAAGTTTCACCTTATGATCATTCTGCCGAAACAGGTACAGACTAATAGAAGATCCGGTGTTTGACTATTGCCTATCTAGATACGCGAGAGGCAAAGATATGCAAGCACCATATTTGCAAGCCCTGGGGTGGTAGTCTAAGTATCCACTGAGTTTCAGGACTCGTTGGGCACGTCAAGGGTGGAGTAAAACGCGACCACGAACTATATTACCGCCTAGAGGGCTCTAGTATTCTATGTTGGAGGAGGATCTAACTAGGTGGTATACGTGTGGCCCGCCTAGAAACTCAGTGTAAACGTACTGCTCTTCTTCCTCAAACCTGTGCCATTGCTTTGGGTGATCTACACCCGAAATGCACGATATAATACTGATACAGCATACTAATTATAAACCTGTACCCCACACAAGCACTGCCAATTCCTGTTCGGTTCATACTCGGGTTACATACTAGGACAATGTGCAGTAGGTGGACTCCATGAAAGTCGAGATAATGCTCCAGGGAGTCGACACGTCATAGAAGTGTGACCGGCCCCTAGATCCTCATCTGGTTTCAGCGCATCGGCTATGCAAGTGCATAGCATGAGCCTGGGGTAATAGTTAACAATGGCTGCCTATTGTATGATGACGCGGTAAATTGTACAATTGGCGGTTGGCACTCTGATTCCTGACTTTTCCTCTCCTGTGAGTTATCGACTTGGCGAATGGGCTGTTGAAATACACAGATCACAGACATTGCCATGCTTCCATAGCATCATGATACAGAATAGTGGATGCTAGTTATTATCCATGGATGTATCACGGAGCTACATATGTTATACAAGTGGCATGCACCGTGAGCTCCACTATATCAAACTCTATAAGCGAGAGAATATACAGAGAAAGACATCACGCGAGGCTCTTCCATGAGCATCAAAATCCAGGCATCACAATTTCCCAATATGGAATACACACGGAGAATTGCACGCAAGATCCGCCAACTATCCCTATACCAAAAGAAAACCCAAGAGTTCCACACTGCCCCGAAAACAATCTCCAGTAACAATATCATACACCACACGTGAACAAGCACACATCTCCCTAAGAAACTCTACCTCTTCAACTGATGCCTAACCGATTCTTCTATTCTTGGACATCAAACATAGCTCGATGTACCCAGCCAAGCTTATAGATCTACCGATGACGACGCCTGCAAGCAACACCAGCATAGGCATCAACATACCCGATCCATCGACCGCCATTCTATCCCCAACCCTGCCTTGACGCCATGGCTCCGCCACGCCCGCCAACGCAAACCCCAGCGGGCTATTTACGTTCTTCAGCAAGAGCCGACGCTGCACCTCGGAGATTCAGTGCCCATCTCGGTAATGGCCCGGGGGGAAACTGCTGGCTGCCCAAAGTTCAGACGTGTCGGGGCAAGGAAGGAAGCTTTAACTTTGTGGATCGTGCATTTCTGCATCGTCTTTTGCAGATCGTTGCTTGAAACGCGGCTTTGCGTGTACTTTTGCTTTTGCTTTTGATAGGCGATGTTTGTATACTTGTGATATATCACAAATAGCTATGCTAGTGGTCATGGCTGTGTCCTATGGTTTCTTGGGAGTGTCGGGGGGGTTTTTTCACCGCTGGGGCTGGAGAGGTTATCTCCTATATTGCTATTTTTGGAACTAGGTGACTGCGGTTGGGTTTTGTATTGTTTTCTTGAGATTATTGAGCTTTGCTCAGACACTATACCTAGGAGATGGCTTTAGAAAAGATGAGTTTGAGAGCTATAGGAGTAATTGAGCAAGGATGTTTGCAATCTGTGTCAAAAGTTGATAGCAAAATCACACCAACTCCCATGAGATACAAGAGCCTTGGCAGTTTCCAAGGCTGTCAATTTACGGATAGAAGTCAAAATAACAATCAAGTCATTAGATTGTAGAGTACCTTTAAGCCCTTCAGATATCTTCTCAATTATGGGTTTCTATTACTTAGGGCCTGAATACAGATATATAAGAGGAAGCAAGCAGCTAACGGCGCCATATCGAGATGTGAATAGAACAGATATGTCCCAAGAAAATTCATGATAATGCGGAGTACATGCTTCCCAATATCCCTACATCTAAATTGCAGACCTGGTGGGTTAAATATATATATCTAGTTCCTCGTGTTTGAACGGTCATTAAAGACCCAGCCGGAGCTGGTTCTAGATCAGAAGACCACATTTCATTATAAGAATATACCACTCAATCAGAATTCCTACATATTCATTGACTTATCAATTATCTCTTTGATGATAGTGCAAACCATTTTGTATCAAACTGTCAGTGCTGAAAACACTTTTGTATCTTGGTAGCTTCGACGGGAAGAACCCTAAGACAAAAGATATGATCACTATAGCTCCTGCAGTTGCATCATTTACCTAGCCAGCGTTCGCAGATGTCGAAGAACTACGGGCTCTTTCTCTTATATGTACTGGGCCTGGCTTCATGTTTAGAAGAATGACATTAAACACAGCGTAATCAACAGCTGTTAAGTTACTTCAGTTATCTGTTTTTCATTTACTCAATGCCTGGGCTTTTACTATATTATACTATGGAATTCTTGTTAATTCTTCAGTAGATGTAGATGAACTGGTATACAACACCACAGCAGATGTCTGTTGGTCAATACAGAGCTCTAGAAACCCCTATACCATGCTCTACAGATGGCTACGAACGCTTCGGTGGAGGCGCAGTCGGATAACGAGACTTTGTTCAGAACCCTAGATGAACCATTGTCTATGAACTAGTTATGTCAGCTGACATTGATGCCTTCGAAAAAGTGATTGCCCGAACAATCCTAGTGCATACCCAGCCCGGAGAGTAAAGGAGAAAGGAAGATGAAGATGAAGAAGATAGGGTAGTGAAAAACAACAAAATCGCTAAGAAACGATCTAAATCAGAGCTGCTAAACAGATGCCATTGACTCCTTGTGTGAGAAAAGGAGGAAAGACTACAGCACATATCAGACTGCGGTTTCAGCTTGAAACTACTCATTGATACTGCTAAGTAGAAGTTGCTTATTCGGGAATGCTGCCGAAGGATGGGTCCCGAACACTGCCGCCAGCATCTCCAAGACCAGCAACCGGGCGATTGTAAGACCAGCCTTCAAACTGCTGCTGCATAGTCTGGGACAAAACGGGCCCATCCACGTATGAGTCTTGAGGTGCTTCGGATGTAAACTCCCGGTCGAAGTTGGCGGTGTCACGCGCGTCAACCTACACGAGTCAGCTATAATCAAAGATGCAGAGGGATGAAGTCATGATGCTATCACATACCACGTTGGGTCGGAAGCTTGGTTCGTACTTCCGCTGGAGCAGTTTACGCCAATCAATGTTGGCAAAGAAATGATGCGACTTAATCTCTGCAGCACCGTTGGCACCCAGTCGACGCTGGGGGTCACGGTCAAGCAGTCGTGTCAGAAGGTCCCGAGCAGCGGGGGGTACAATATCCGTGCTGGGGAAAGTCAGGGGCTCCTGCAAAATCTTGCGGTACATGTCGTTGGTGTTTTCGTCGTAGAATGGAGGAAGACCTGTCAACATCTCATACAGGAGGACACCCAGCGTCCACCAGTCGACAGACTTGGTATATCCGTTGCCCAATAGCAACTCAGGTGCAAGATATTCCGGGGTTCCGCAGAAGGCTATCGAGGACGTTAACGAAATCAAACGGGGTTGCAGATACATAAGGTGTCTTACTGTTCGTCCGATCTTCATCCTTCATGTCTAACTTGCATAGACCAAAGTCACAAAGAGCAATGTGCCCCGTATAGTCGAGGAGAATATTTTCCGGCTTGAGATCACGGTAAATGACCTTGAAGCCATGCAGACACTCCAAAGCGCAAAGCAGCTCAGCCGTGTAGAAACGGGCACGGTTGATATCGAAACGCTGCTCTCTTTGGAGGTGGTGGAATAGCTCTCCACCGTTTACGAAGGCAAGAACGAAATACAATTTTTCTGGAGACTGGAAGGAAAATTTCAAGGGGACGATGAAGGGATTATTGATCTGTGCAAGCACCGATCTCTCGGCGAGAGTGTGCGTAACTTCCGATCGTGAAATGATGTGAGCCTTACGGATAGTCTTGAGGGCATAGATACGACCTGTATCTTTCTTCATGACCTGCATGACCTTGCCGAAACTACCTTTACCCACGACCTTCAATAGCTCGAAGTCCTCCAACTTCAAGCTTTGCTGCTTGTTCTCGACGAATTTAACACCAATCTTGATCGATCCGGTACCGAATTGAAGCTCCAGCCATTCTGCGCCCAACTGGCCTAAATGGCGCTCCTGGGCTGCGTGGGCAGCAGCCGCTTTCTGGTTGTCCTTCTTGCTGAGTTTGGGATCCTCCACAAACTGTTGGGCTTCTTCGAAGCGCGGGTGGACCTTGACGGCACCGAGGAAGATATCTTCACTCCGACCGGCACCGGGCCGAGCGGCCGGGTTTCGGAGATAGAGTTGAACGTTCAATTCCGTCTTACGGGACACATCGAACTTGAAGGCGGTGTTGTCTCCAGCCCAAAGGGGATTCTCGGGCGACCCTGACACTGCGTCGACAAAAACCTGGTTCTTCTCGAAATCTAACAGAGCGTAGGGAAGATACTTTGTCGAATACCGACCGTGGATTGTGGGCGCAGCATTGATACCTCCGCTAGTCGACTGAGGACGGCCGCTATGGACGAATGATGCAGCCTGCCCATGGGTGGAGTGGGAGGACGAAGAGCTCGGGCGCATAGCATAGTTATTCTGGAAATGCGAATTGAAGATCTGTTGGTATTGCGGGGAAAGAGCGAAATCCCGGCCTTCGTGGAGGGTGACGATCAGGATACCGGGCTTGACGGGCGCCACAGGAGGCGATACGAGAGATTCCGAGGCACCTTTTCACATGTTAGGGCATGCTCGTGACCCCCGAAAGACATAAGCTACATACTGATTCCATTGATGTTTGACGTGGAAATAGTCGGAGTCGGAGCCTGAGAAACCACGGGGGTCTCTTCGCCGGACTCGCCCTTAATGGTGGATGTGGATGAGGACCGGGTAAAGGTTTGCGTCAAAGGAGCAAGGTGGGTTTCCTTTAATTCTATGTGAAGTGGGTTAGACAGAGGTCAACTTTGCAGAATGGGCCAAAGTGATGCTATATATAGAAAGTAAGGGACATACTTTTGGTGAGTTTCCAAGACATTGTGACAGGCGATTTATGATATCCAGGATAAAGATGAGAGAGGAAACGGAATGCAGTAGGATCTTTATCAAGTTTGTTACGGACTAAATATAAAAGAAAAATAGGGAGGGAATGAAACAAAAAGGAGGTCGTTCTTAGTACCCCAGAGGGTTGGAGCAGTGACCGAGATGTGGTACCGCCACAGCCACAGCGGTCAGAGAAACACACAGAGAAGGAAACCTGAGGGGGATCAGGGAACTGAGATCCAGAGATAAGGAAGATGATCGGAGACTGTACACGGAGAAGTTAAGAAGGAGGGGAACAACCACAACAGGAATAACCAGGGCCGGAACAAATTCCAACAACGACCCAGGTAAAAAAAGAAAAAAACACAAGCAAGATGGATTGTCTTGAACGATGAAAAGGGAACAAACACAGATCGAGGGGAAAAGTGGCAGAAGGGGGCACGGCAGAAGGAGGGGGCAAAATCACCCGCCATCATTGGGTCAGGAACATGGCTGCCTGGGTCCATGCACTGGGCGCCTGAGGCATCAGTGCCCCTGGGGCGGTGCAGATTCCTGAGAATCCAGGCTTCCAAGCCCACTAGCCCCGATGGCTAAGCCACTTTGCCCGCCCGGAATCTGGCGATGCCGCTATGTACCGAAGCTAACTGCAACTTCAGCTCCCAATAGAGATCAGCCAGCGCATCGTGACTAGGAAGTGATTTCACCCGCTCGATTAGCATATCGCTTGCTCCGAGTATTCCGTTCCTGACTGGCCAGTTGACCGCCCGCTCAGCTGACTGATCCCCACTTCCACTGCGGAGATCTCCCTTCGCGTTCCCCGACTTCCCCATCTGGACCATCTCACACTTGATCGGATCGCTCCATATCAGCCCTCTGTCACCACGAGAGGGCGCGGAATCTAGTCGAAACGGCTCAGGATACAGTGGAGGATGAAAGGGACTCACAATCGATGGGCGTAATACGGAAGAAGACCGCCTCGCGCGGCACGGAAGCTGGGACCAAGTACCATTGCGATATCTGTTCGGTCGACGTGACTTCAACGGTATGGAGGCACCGATGTCAATGGAATTACACGGGTTATATCTAACTGCAGTGTAACAGGTTCGTGTATCGTGCGCCCACCCCGCCTGCCATGAGTACGATCTCTGCGTTCCTTGTTTTGCCGCCGGAGAGAAATCCAAGAACCACGACCCGTCCTCACATCCGTTCCAAGTGATTGAACAGAATTCCGTTCCGATCTTCCAGGAAGATTGGGGAGCGGATGAGGAACTTTTGCTGTTAGAAGGCGCGGATATTTATGGGTTGGGGTCATGGGCCGATATTGCAGATCATATCGGTGGTTACCGAACTAAGGAGGAAGTACGAGATCACTATATCAGCACATATATAGACAGCTCGAACTTCCCATTACCCGAACGCGCCGACCCGGACGATACGCGACTGTCCGACTCGATCTCCAAGGAAGAGTTCCAGTCCCGCAAGAAGCGCCGCATCGAGGAGCGCAAGGAGGCGGCTAAGGCGGCTCCTCCGACGACACCAAAACAAAAGCCGACAGCCAGTGTTCCAGCTTGTCACGAAGTGCAAGGTTATATGCCTGGTCGTCTCGAATTCGAGACGGAATTTATGAACGAAGCAGAAGAGGCGGTGCAACATATGACGTTCGAGCCGGGCGCAGGTGAAACGGCCAACGGTGAAACAGACGCGGAGATGGAGCTAAAGATGACGGTCGTCGATATCTACAACTCGCGTCTGACCGCCCGAACGGAGCGCAAGAAAGTTCTGTTCGAGCACAATTTACTTGAATACCGCAAGAACACAGCCTTGGAGAAGAAGCGCACTAAGGAGGAAAGGGATCTACTAAACAAAGCGAAACCGTTTGCTCGAATGATGAACCATGATGACTTTGAGGAGTTCAACAAGGGCTTAGAGTACGAGCACAATCTACGACTAGCCATCACGCAACTACAGGAATGGCGACAGATGGGGATTGGAGACCTTATCGGCGGAGAAAAATACGAGCAAGAGAAACAGCAACGCGCCCAGAGACTCGTGCCACAAGGGTCCTTTGACCGGTTCGCCAGCACACGACCGAAGCAGTCACAGCAGCCTGAGGGTCCCTCTGCAGCCAGTCAGCTGACCACACCAGAGCTCCCGTTGCGGTTACAAAAGGCATCCGGCGCAAACAAGGCCGTAGAGCCGGTCAACCAACCGATGAACGATTTCGACCGAGCATTTGCCAGCAATGGAGATGGTCTCACGACACCGCAGCCCTCCAAAACGAAGTTTGTAGTCCAACCGCTTAACGGGGTTATTCCATGGAAACTAGAGAACGACGGCGCACCCGACCTTCATCTCCTAACCAAGGAAGAGGTGGAAGTATGCAACGTACTGCACGTCCAGCCCAAGCCTTATCTAGTAATCAAGGAGACCCTCCTCAAGGAAGCAATGAAGCAGGGAGGAAGCTTGAAAAAGAAGGACGCGCGAACAATCTGCAAGGTAACCCCCACGCCCTACCAAACAAGATAAATGAGTTAACTAATCACTCCATACATAGATCGACGCGACCAAAACGGGCCGAATTTACGATTTTATGGTGCACAGCGGCTGGATCAACAAGGCATAGTCTGATTGGTGAATGAGTCGACAGTTTTATATCCAGGGTGTCAATGGAACGGAGTTGGGCGTTGCCGGGGGGGTGTATATGTGTAGAGCATACCTACAAAGGCTTGAAGCGGGCTTATCTTTTTCCCCTTGTCATCGAGAAACTAATTTTGAATACACAAACACACATACATACAGACCTTGTAGATATACTCTTCACTCGAAAGGAGTGCCTTCATTACCCATCTTCCAGTAGTAGTAATAGTCAACACTAGCCCAAACAACTAGTCCCAAAACCAAGCAACTCCCCAACTCCACATAGATAATCACAAAAATAACCTTCTCCGCATTTCGGCCCTCGGCAACGCTGCCCCAACATACTAAACCAACAACACCCAAGACGAAAAATAAAAGCCACGACAACCCAGAACCCCTGTAAACCAATACTCCCCTACCCCAAAAACAACACCAAATACCAAAAAGGGGAAGGAAGAAAGAAAGGGACAAACAAAAATGACGTTCAAAACCCCACCCCCGACCCCACAGCACGCCAAAGTGACGTTCCCGACCCCAAATGTCCTGCAAGTGACGCTCTCGCGACCCAAGGACCTCAACTGCATAAACACAGCGGGCCACCATGAGCTGCACGAGCTCTGGGAATGGATGGACGAGGAGCCGAGTATCCGGGTTGGGGTGTTGACGGGGGAAGGGAGGGCGTTTTGCGCGGGGGCGGATTTAAAGGGTATGTTATTACGTTATTTATCTCAGATTAGCTTTTGATAGCTATGCATATATACATGCATGCATAAGCGTCCCCCCGTTGTTATTATTGACGGGTTCTGGTCAGAGATGAGAGAGACATGTGCTAATGGAGTTGCACAGAATGGAACAACCAAGTGAATAGCGCCAAGGGTGAGAAACGACAACAGCCATCGTCGGGATTCGGGGGTCTTTCACGCCGGAGTGGGAAGAAGCCTATTATTTGCGCGGTGAATGGACTCTGTCTGGGGGGTGGGTGTGAGATGATTGTCAATGCGGATCTAGTGATTGCGTGTGAGAAGGCCTTTTTCGGGTTTCCCGAAGTTCAGCGCGGAGTTGTTGCGATTGCGGGGGCGTTGCCGCGGGTGGTACGGACCATCGGGCGACAGCGGGCGATGGAGATGGTCTTGACGGGGCGCCGGGTGACGGCGACCGAGGCGGAGAAGTGGGGATTTGTCAACGAGGTGCTGGCCACGCCGGAAGACGTGGTGACGCGGGCATTGGAAATCGCGGGTCAGATCGCGGCGAATAGTCCCGATGCGGTGATCGTCAGTCGGGAGGGAGTCAAGTTGGGTTGGGAGGGTGTGGGAGCCGAGGAGGGCAGTCGCTGGTTGATCGACGGCTGGCAGAAGCGGTTAAATGAGGGCGAGAATATCAAAGAGGGATTGAGGGCGTTTGTGGAGAAGAGGAAACCAAAGTGGGTGGATAGCAAGTTATAGATGAACTATAGTTGTGAAGAATACCTATACTACAGATGCCAACTACAAAGACCAAAGGATAAATAAATAATCTCATAATCATTAATCTCATTAGACTCTAATGCGCTGCACTAAGTCAATACAAATCATCCTATGTATGCTAACCCGAGATCCCATTGAATGCTTCCATTCGCGCCGTCCATATGTTCGCCGTATCCCATGCAGTTCATGCCCGGCCAGCGGACAGATCAATTTGATACCATATCAAATATCCCTCGGGCGATCCATATGGTGATGGACTCGGAACCCTTCGTTTTCTGGTAATAAAAAGGAGTGTGGTGGTATGTAAAACGACCGGGGATCAGATCACTGACTTGGCGCCCTGCTGGACTGCGGAAACACGCTTCACCACATGAGAATAAAGTGGGTGGTCTTTCTCCAAACCGGTGAGCTGGGAGGTGGCATCCTCGGCCGAGTTATCCCTCAGAATGTGAGCAAGCTCGGAACTCTCCTCGTCTCCTGGGACGTTCTGGAAGCGAAGAGCCATCTCAATGGCGCCCAGCAGAGCATCGAACTTCTTGCCACGCTCTGCAAGCTGCGAGGCAGGCCCAATGAACCGTTCCTTGCGAGACAGTTTGCGGAGAGGAGCACGTCCTACACGCTCAACGTTGTCCTCGAGATACGGGTTGGAAATACGGCTGACGATCTTGTCAACATACTCCTTCTGCTCCTGGTCCGAGATCTCATGCTTATCGGTAATGAGAGCGGCAGTCTCCTCGAGCACCTTGTGCACCGTCTCGCGGATCTCAGGGTCTTCAAGGGCCTCAGCGATCATCTTCTTGCCACGCTTGTGAGCGTAGTAGGCCGTGGTAGCATGGCCAGTGTTGACGGTGAAGAGCTTGCGTTCAATGTAAGGTTCGAGGTGGTCCACCCAGTGGATGGCAGGGATGTCGGGATGACCCCATTCGCCAAAAGGAGTCTTCTCCACGGCCCACTCGTAGAACTTCTCGATGCGAACATTAAGACCACTGTTCGGGGGCTGGTTGGGGACAATGCGGTCGATAGCCGAGTTGGCAAAGCGGGCACGCTCGGAGAGGGTCTCCAGACGGTCAGGGTTGGTGCTTTGCTTGATGTATCCGTGCAAGGTATCCGTCGCACCGATCGCGTTCTCACAGGCGATCACCGCCACGGGCTTCTTTTCGGTGCGCGCATCAATGCCCTTGGCAATGACTGGCGCGATGAACTTGAGGATGTTGGGGCCGACAGCACAGGTAACCACATCAGCCGATGCGATCTCCTGAATGACGTCGGCCTCATGCGTCTTGGAGTTGATGGCGCGATAGTTGGTGATGGTCTTGGTGCTTTCACCCTCTTCGCTGACCTCCGTCACATCGTACGACGGGGTCTGCTGCAAAGAGTTGATGACGCTATCCATGACATCAATGAAGACGACTTCATAGCCGGCAGCGTGGAGGAACTCAGCCACGAAGCCACGGCCAATGTTTCCACCGCCAAACTGGATAGCCTTTTTACCCATGATGGATGGTTGACAGTTGTATCCTGAAGTTGGATTTAACAGGGGGTGGTGTGATGGTGATGAAGTAGGATGGAGAAAGAGTATATGACAGTAGTAGTTGGTAGTAGATGAGAGAAAGGCGGAAGGGCTATCAGAAAGAGACGTTGAAGTAGGAGAAGTGAAAGTAATTGTTGTTGTTGTTGACGATGTTAATTTCGTGGGAAACAGAAAGAGGGGTAACGAGGGGTATATGTACTACCAAACATTTCACGATGGTGGACAAGAGAGGGGTGAATGAAAAAGGAAGGAATGATGCAGTGACGCTTTGTATGGAACGGCAAAGAAACGAAACTCTGGGCGAGAATGGAACCCCTACACGATGCTCATTCACGACTGGTGGAACTCGAGTGGGGAAGGGGGGAAATGTGCCTATGGGAATAGTATCAACTGAACACATGGGGACTAGGAACGCAGTCTTCCGGAGGGCTCAGACGCTTTTTCATTTCTGGGGGGGAAATTGTGGCTATTCCCGTGCAAAAACAGGAAACGCTGGGATTGGTTTTCGTCATTGGTTTGGGTATTCGTTCAGGTCGTCAACCCAACCAGCGGCTCTGAATTTCTGATCCGGACCATTCCGTGATCATCCTGGCGATAGGGTCATGAAGGGATTTGTTATCACGTTACGCAGGAACTGGAGACCCAATTGTCACCCGATCCTCATTTCTCTCTCTCTCTCTCTCTGGACACAGTATTAACATTCACACTGGAATATGGTCCAGTCGGGGTTACCCTCCGCTAGGTGACCAGAAAACTATCTCGTACTAAGGTAACCACTTCCCTTAAACCGGACGGGTTAATTCGAGTCTTCTTGGTCTGTACTCCGTCCTCAGTCGTCGATGAGGTGAACCCCTGCTCATCCCCGAGTGGATTCCCTGCACGACTTGAACTGAACGGCCTACTAGTACGCAGTACTGGTACTACAACTACTAGTCTCTCCTTCCCCCCGCGAATAACACTGGTCAATTCCTCCCGATAATTTTCCAGTCATGACAGCAACAGTCGTAGTCAACTTAACGTCATCATTTGGCATCGTTCGAGCCCATCGAGTGACCCACTATCAACGATAGCATCGCAAGTATAGCGGAGGGAACCGGGTTGCCTCATTTGGCGAGACCTTCTCACGGGTCCACTCGTGACGTCGCCATCCGCGGGAAGACCCAATTTTTTCCTCACACTATGAGACTTGGACTATGATCTCAAGACCCCTTCCCACCTGCCATGCTGCTATTGTATTGCGACAAAGGTCCACTTCAAAATCAACAGAGACTCATGGAATTTCTTCTATAGAACTGTCCAGGTTCGGTGGGGCTCCTATCGTTGCGTTCAACATTTGTTCAATATCCAATATCCAACCAATATTGGGTTCCAATCCAACGCATTAGCACAAGAATCAACTCCTCCCGATTCGCTCCCTTTCCTTGGTTTTCTCTGGTCTTCTTTTTTTCCTGCTTTAGTTAACGTTCCCCCCCCTTTTTTATTATTATTATTCCTCTCCATTCCGTTCCTTTCTTAGTCTCCCTTCTCGTTCGACCCTACCGAGTCCGAATCCGCGGCCACCGTCTTCGGTTCTGCCACCGGTTCATACGCTGCCGATCGGTTACGGTCCAACATTACCGTCAGTAAACTGACCATGCCTCCCACCAGTAACAATCCAGCGGCAGCCCATGTCATCCCTAAAAATTGATGGCCATACCTCGCCGTCACACCGGACTCCTCGCCGTGGCGATTGATGAGATTCACGAATTGTAATGCAATAACCGTTGCGATAATGGACGGAATGCTGAGCATCGTGAAACTGAGCTGTGGACCTCCTTCTTAGTACCGGACGGGATCTGAAACGTCCAATGGAGCTTACCATGAGAGAAGAAGCTTCTACAACCGTCTGTCTTGGTCCTTTCGCGATCACGAACCACAGTCGTTCCAAGACCGCCAGTCCCGCTAACCCTATCCCAATACAGTAGAAGACCCCCATACTCTGGCTGGTAGCACCGAACGTGCGTAGATCATCGGTGATGGAACTCGGCCATCCCAGGCTGGATAATGAGGTGGTGTTGCCCGCATCTTTCGTTAGCGCTTCAGTCGCATTGAAGGCGAACAGTAGCGAGGGGGTTGAACATCCGGTCAAGTTTCGATTTTCTGCATGCAGGAATCCCTCACAGTAGGACATGACATATATTGAATAGAAGTCTCGCATCCCTGTGTCATTGCTTATACTTGTCGTATATATCTTCGACGGTTGTTAAGTCCCCGCTCATACAAGAGTGTGACAAAGGCGAACATACCGTGAAAACATCCGTGTCTAATAAAAGGTTTGTCTTTGTTCCTGCGAAGAGGCATAGCATGCCCAGGATAAAGGCGATAAAGGCGGTTAATGTGGGTAGTATGTTGCTCCAATGCATCATCTTGTCGGTACTGTGCTGATCTATACGATTGTAAATCACCGCTGGAAATCTCCGCTCCTGAACTCTATCACGCAAAAGCCGTGGCATCATGGCATATACATAGTCCTAGACTGGAGATAAATCCTCCGGTAGTCACCATTCTTCGAGATGGCGAACATTCAACCCGACTTCGGTCGCTGAAGCAAGACATGCTCCGATCTCACCTTTCCTCGAGACACCGGTGCAGCCGACACTACGCTGCTAGTTAGTCGCATGTCGGAAAAAGAAGCTCAATGGATTTCATTGGCCGGATCGGCCTCCATGACTTGCTGCAGCAATGTTCGGATATCGACGCCGGGTGGGTACTGTTGCATGCGAAAGGCGCCAGCCGATCTGGGGAATGTGTGCGCCAACGTCTGGTATGCTCGACTTGAGAGGTACGAGGACACCCAGGCCTGAAAACCGGTTTCCCTATATACCAAGGGGTAGGAATCTTCCTACTGTCGTTAATTTTGTTCTAGCCCTCTCGCATACAACGTTTCCGTTCAGCCCGTAGATACCATATCTCAATTCTCAATATTGCTATGACTCGATGAATTGACGTCGAGTCTTTCCTAAGATGTTCATTCCAACTATGAAGAACTAGACTATTGTTCTACAATCCCAATGGCTTTGTACTTTTGAACAGTCATCATTTGGTTTACCAGAACTACGCCCAAACCGGCTACCGAAAATCACACTCTCCATAGATCGAAGTACTACGTAATAATCCCACCCACTCGTCAGCATATTATATCCAGAAAAATTAAAGCCAAAAATATCTCCAGACCACCATCTATGGAAAATGCACACCACACAACTACACTATGACTCATGACAACACTGCCGCCCTTCTCCTGACACACAACACATCTGGTGTGATATTCGCCACATTTATAGAAAGGGACGCCGGCGGCCGAAGTGGCGCCAGACAAATACCACCACGGGCCGATTCCACGACGCCGGTGAGTGGAGGTCTGTAACATGTTAGTTCTGGAGGATAGAAAACATCAAGTTTGGCCTTTGAATTGAGCTATTTTATGGGTAATGATGTTGCTTCTCCCCTCCATGGTGCATGGCGCCTCATCCTTAGTATTCAATATACCTGGAAGCAGGTAGGGCTCGAGCAGCGAGCAACACAGGATAATGCAGATAGTAATCTCATTTCCTAAAGAACAATGAACGCGATCTTTACAAAGGGCCATGGTGGATATGAGACGTAATAATATTTAAGTCATAGCGGGCAAAATGGTAGAAGAGGAAAAAAATAGGTAGAACAAATAACTCTAGAACAATAAGGTAATAGATACACCCAACTTCTCTCTGCACCCCACTGTCATTCACCTTTTCGTTCATGCTTCGGCTTCGACCTCTGGCGCCCCGTTGGCTGCTGACTCGGCTGGTTCGTCATCGTTAACGTCGATAAGGGACTCTGAAGAAGGAGGCTCAGGGACAACGCCTTCCTTCTCCAGGCGGAGGTACTCATCCCATTCGGGGAAGAGGTCGTCATCGGCGGTAGCGTCGGGAGCACCAGGAGGGACACCGATCAGGCGAGCGATCTTTGTCTTTCCAGACTGCTCGAGCGACTGCTTCCACTGAACGACGAGCTCGGGTGCCCGGGATGGCTTGTAGGTCTGTGTGAAAAGAACGGCTTCCGCGAGACGGTTGGTCCGCACAAGAAGGTCTGTGCAGGCATCGATATCACCGAGAGACCACAAGGTAGAGAAAGCAACATTGTGCAGGCCGGCCTCGGAGGCTTGTTCTGCGAGGTTACGGAGACCCTCCTTGTTGCCGCTGGCGGTATGCAAAAGCAGGAGGGAGCCAACATCCTTAGCATTGGTGAAGCACTCCTGGGCCAGATCCAGATTCCATCCTGCCAGGGCAGCATCACCAACAGTCTTCCATTTATGTTCGACGTTGGCTTCACGAGCAATTTCGAGGGCAATGTCGAGATTGTTGAGAGAAAGGGCAAGGTCAAAACGATGTTCCGGGTCAGTGGCGACTTCAAGGGCCATGTCCTTGTAGCCTTGGCCCTCGAGGAACCGCGCAACCTTGTTGATCTGGTCCTGCGGGATGTCCTTTAGCAGCTCTGCTGCCATATCCATATCTCCACGAAGAACCACGGTCTGGTATTCGACCATGCTAAGTGAGAGACCAAAAGAAACAACGTTGACATCCTTATCAGCCAGATATACCCTGCCATCGCGAGGCAAGTAACCGAGGACATACATGCCCTGATCAAAGTGAGAGATTGTGTAGGTCTGATCACCAACAAGGTAGTTCAAGCGGTTCGTCGAATTGGTGTAGATAAAGCAGTCACCAACCCATTGACCTGTCCTGACAGTCTCATTGACATCAGTGACGACTTCGAAAGCCGACTCAACACCATCCTCGTCGGCTTCTCCCTCATTGAGACCGTTGATGTAGTTCTCCCTCGAGAATCGGAGCACGTAGAATGAGTCCTCGCAGGCAAGGGTCACCAACTCTCCAGACTCAGACCAATAAACCTAGAAACAGTGTTAGCGACTGGGCTTTATTGATGGTTATTTTTCGGTGATTCTTACGGCCTTCGGATCGACTTCAATGCGACGGACTAGATTGCCGGTTTCCCAGTCGAACATACCAATGCCTCCTTGTCCTTTGACACCAAGAAGCACACCATCAGTGAGACCTTCGGCTTGGAAGCCGACATCTAAGCCGCCACTGACTTCCTTGAAGTTCCTGAAGATCTTGACACTAGTTGATGACTCGCGAATAGCATAGTCATTGCTGTTATCCTTCGAGCCCCAGGCGAAATCGAGAGCTTGTCCGAATGCCTTATTTCTCCAGGCAAGGGCAGTGTAGATGATATACTCGCCATCGCCGCATACTGAAACGAAACGGCCATTGGGCGAGTGTGATAGCGTCTGTGGGTAGACCTCGCATGAGCCCAGCTCCTTCGTCGGTAAGGAGATTGGTGCACCATCCTTGACAGTAGCATCGCCACCCTTGATGACTGTGGAAACCACTTCATTGTGCCTTGCCCAGACAATCTTTCCCGATCCGTCCATAGAGACAGCAGGTTCCTCGCGACCCATTTTAACGACCACTGCACCATCATCAAAACCCATTGCGATACCCTGTCTACCGCGCTGGTATGCAACACACCACGCTCTTTCAAGACCATAGCTTAACGATTGTTCCAGTCGGTATGTGTTTGCGTGCCAGATCTTGATGGTTCCATCTTCAGATCCCGAAATGATCACTGGTAATTCCGGGTGATAGCAGGCGAAGGAAACATTACTTGTGTGTCCTTCCAATGTTGCAATGAGCGCCTTTGTGGTGTAATCCCAGACCTTAACCGTCTTATCATCTGAGGTGGTAAGAAGATACGGCTTATCGGCTTGTGGATAGTAGTCGACATAGTTAACACCCTTCGTCTCGTGGGCCTCCAATGTGAAGTTGGCATGTGGAGAACCAAGACTCCAGATCTTGACAGTCCGATCCAAACATGCAGATGCGAATGTGTTTGTGTCCTTGGGATTAATAGACAGTCCCATCACATAATGAGCGTGACCTTCGTACACCTGGACACACTTCCAACCTTTCTCCCAATCCCAAAGCTTGATTGTCATATCATCGGAGGCGGTAAGAACGAAAGGCTGGGTGGGATGAACAGCAATCGAACGAATATAGTCCGGGTGGGCCTCAAACGAGGCAATCTTCTCGGAAGTGTTGTAGTTGTATACGCGGAGTTGGAAGTCATCTGATCCGCAAACAATCCAGTTTTTGCGTGCAATAAACCGACCAGCTCGTACAGGGACATCGGTAAGTTCGAAGGTTTTAATAATTGACTACGGAAATTGACAGTCAGAAGATGTTTGAGCGTAACGTTGCTCATCAAATACTTACCTGAGTCTCGTAAGACCAGATGTATACGTGACCTATGGATTCCGATTAGCGCATTCAGCCTATAGCCGTTTATATGTAGATCCCCCAACGCACCGCTGTATAAGGTCGTCAGGATCTGAAGTTCAGTCAGTATGATATGTCGATATCTGAGATCGTTAGGAACTCACCCATGGCTCCGTCGGATGGAAGTCAATGCCCTTTACTCGCTCCGAGCGAGCAAAGAGCTGTCTCTATTGAGTTGCAATTATGGTCAGCAACAATATCATTTCCATTCAACTGTATGCTCAAATGAAGAAGCGCCAGTTCATTCCACATGTAAAACCATTCCGAGCAACACACGGCGTACCTTAACATCCAATCTCATGTTGTGTGGGGAAGGAGAATGTCGCGACTATTTGCGGCGTCGGGGGCGGAGGGGAAGAAACCAGGCCACGAGCGGCTCAGACAGCCCAACCCGGGGTTGCAAATAACTTCCCTTGGAAGTATGTATTAAAAGCGCACAAAGATGAGGAAGTCCCCGACCGGAATGGCCTGTAGGTTACCAATGTAGTTGTTCAGGGACTCGGCAGCGATGTGTCCACAAGGAGACGGAAACCCGCCAGCTATCTACAATAGCCTAGCGACCTGAACCCTCACCGCCTACGATTCTAGGCTTCATACAAGATCTCAATTGGATGATTCCAGTTCATACTCGTCGCAATGCTAGGTACCCAGGTAGATTTCCCATTCTATCCTATGTAATAGTCACCCTTTAAGATAACACATTCTAAATGTCCGCTAAAGTGAGCGCAGTGCCCACAAACGCACAGCAGCGCGGCCATTAACATTGTCTACAATGTTCCAATGCTTCAACGATCAACCACCTTTGTCTATTGCGTAGGAAACTCCCTGTATCAATTCGAACTTGATTGCTGTATAGAGCATGAAGACATGAACCTTCTAATAGTGGATATAATTTCGACAAGATAGCGTTCCTTTCCATTTGACACGCATCGGCTAATAAATACAAGTGGGGTTAAGGATCATAGAAATGAACAAGTCTTTTTATTCATCGGAGTCAGCCTTTATGCAGAGTCTTTGCGCTCAAAGTAGGACCACTGGCCAGGGGTGGGCTTTTCCTCTAGCTCCTCCCAACTTGTCGGATGTCAGCATATTCCTTGCATGATGCTCTTCGTGGGTTGAGGACTTACACCTTGGACTTGGACATCTCGTCAACAAGCTTCAGCTCACCCTCTGCAACTTGGATGACCTCCTCAAGGAGACCAGCGCCAATCTGGTTCTCGATTTCGGCAACCCTGAGGTTTATTGTAAGCTATGTTTCCAAAAGAAAGTGTAAGGTAAGAACATACTGCTCTGCTTCCAAGGCGGGCTCGTTCTCCCACTTCATAGCGTGAGTATGGAAATCAGACTCGTTCTCTGCATTGGTGGAATCTTCGATAGCCTGATGCCACCGAGCTTCTTCCTCTGGAGTACGGGCAGGGCCTTCACTAGTCGGCTCGAGGGCTTCTCCATCCCACTCCTCACCCCGAGGATTGTCGCTTCCATCGCCGCGCAAAACTCCCGCGTACGAGCCATCTGGGCGAAGGAGAGAAGCGAACCGCTCAGGTTCAGTACCAATGGCCTTCTTCACGCGCTCCAACCAAGCCTCATAGCCAGGAGGTTTCGTAGATTCAACAATTTGCAGACGGTGGCGGGTTACAGCCTCGGTGGACTGGCGGTAGACGGAAGACTCGGGGAAGGCCTTCAATTTCTGCAGGGTAGTTGTGTAGAGATAGATCAAAGTCGGGCGGGGACTGGGATGAGTGACAAGGCCGGTGATACCGGTGGGAGCAAAAGGCTCCAGGTACCGAGCCGGCTTGACGTTGGCCAGCAACCGGAATGTGGACCTCATTGTATTCGGAGGGTATATGAGAAGAAGGGGAGAAAGAATTGACCCAAAAAGGTGAAGAATATCAGGGCCAATGGCAGACCATGTAATTTAGTATCTCAGGTTGTCATTGACTTCGGGAGCGAAGTTGAGGTTCCGTCGGGAGGCGGAGAAACAGAGATTCCACCAGGACGTTCCGGCCACTTAGTTTCATCTGAAGGGAACTAAACTTATCGATCTCTCCGCGCCTAGGGGGTTTACCCATTCTCACCCGCATTCGAGACCATCCTTCTTCTTGAGGACCTGCGGATTTGTCCGCAGATTTCTCGTCACTCTAAATATAATCGCCTGTATCGGTTTTAGAGCCGGTTCCTCTACGGCGGTTGTTCCCACTTGCTGTGGCCACCGCGCCGCATTTCGACACTCGTTCCAGGTCTTCATGTGCCACCCGTAATTTCTCTGGCAATCGCCCTTTGTTCTTACGTTCACTTCTCTTTAAAGACATCGTTTCAAGGTCTCGGACCTTGACTTGCAGTCAGTATGAGGGCATCCTTGCTGGCGTGTTCGCTTCTCTCTTTATTCTCTATCCCCTCTCTCGCTTCTCCTTCCGACAACGTCCTTGAATCCAGAAATGGTCGACTTGTGAAGAGAGCCGACGATCCCGTCGACCCGGGTACCCTGTCTACTACCTTTAACGGTGTTGAAGTGCCTCCTATGAAAGATTTGACGCCTGATAACTTCGAGGAAACCGTCAAGGACGGCTACTGGTTAGAACTCTTCTCACTCCGGTGTCTAGATGCCTGCTCTAACATCTACCAGGTTTATTAAGCAATTCTCTCCTGCCTGCCCGCATTGCCAAAAGATCGCTCCGGCATGGCAGACACTCTATGAATACTACTATGTATGTGCTGTGGCCTTGCCGATTAGGGAGTGTGCTCGTTCAAGCCCGCTAACAAAAGGTAGACTTCGGATCCTTTGGCCTCGTCCTCTTCGAAACCGTCCGATACTAAGTCCCTGAACTCCTTCCATGGCTTCTACAACTTCCACTTTGCATCGCTGAACTGCCAGGCCTATGGCGACTTTTGCAAGAAATTGGACGTCAAGTACTTCCCGCAATTCTCGCTGTATCACAATGGTGAGAGGGTGGAGGAGTTCACTGGAAAGAAGTCAATGGAAGGTCTGAGCGAGTACGTTGAAGACAAACTTGAATCGATCAAGCCTGGGTCTCGTCCCGCCAAGGGAGTTAACCTACCGAAGCCCGGCGCCAAGGGCGTGGATACGAAGGCTGAACCAGAGGTTCCCGCTGCTAAAGACAAGGACCCCGAGGCAGGCGCCAAGGCTGGTGAAAAGCACAATGAGCAAGTTTCCGCCGAGGATGCGTCTTCTGACAAAGCCGCTGCGTTGAAGGCCAAAACGAAACCGAAGGGAGGTCCAGCAAACCCTCAAGGAATCTCTGTTCCCCTCACCGCCGAGAGCTTCCAGAAACTTGTCACGACCACACAGGATCCATGGTTTATTAAGTTTTATGCCCCATGGTGCCATCACTGCCAGGCACTTGCCCCTAACTGGCAGCAAATGGCCAGGGAAATGCAAAACGTCCTAAACGTCGGAGAAGTAAACTGTGACGCTGAGCCCAGACTTTGCAAAGATGCTCATGTGTCGGCCTTTCCCACGATGTATTTCTTCCGGGGCGGTGAGAGGGTTGAATACAACGGCCTTCGGGGCCTAGGCGATCTAGTCAACTATGCCAAGAAGGCAGTTGACGTTGGCTTGGGTGTTCAGGACGTCGACGCCACTTCCTTCAAGGAGCTGGAGGAGAAGGAAGAAGTCATTTTCTTGTACTTCTACGATCACGCTACGACATCGGAGGATTTTGAGGCTCTGGAGCGCCTAACTCTTAGCTTGATCGGCCATGGACGAATTGTGAAAACGAACAGCGCAGCCCTGGCCGAACGGTTCAAGATTTCAACATGGCCCCGCCTTCTTGTTGTCCGAGACGGTCGAGCCAACTACTATACTCCGATTGCTCCCAAGGACATGCGAGACTTCCGACAGATCTTGGGATGGATGCGCACCGTGTGGTTACCCATCGTCCCCGAACTTACCGCCTCCAACGCTGGAGAAATCATGGATGGCAGGTACGTGGTTCTCGGAATCTTGAGCCGGGGACGCTCGGACGAATTCTTGCAGTCAAAGAAGGAGCTGAAGAGCGCGGCTCTTGAATGGATGGACAAGCAAGTTCAGTTGTTCCAGTTGGAACGGCAAGAACTTCGGGACGCCAAACAACTCCGCATTGAGGAGGCTGATGACCGTAACGACCAGCGTGCGTTGCGAGCTGCCAAGAACATGCGCATCACAATCCGTGAAGATGACAAGAAACAGGTCGGCTTCGCCTGGGTGGATGGCGACTTCTGGGAACGGTGGTTGAGAAATGCCTATGGTATTGATGTGGCAAATGGGGAACGAGTCATTATCAATGATCACGATGTAAGTGCTGCCTCCTCGGCGGAAGAAAGCCTTTATTTTGAGACTGATACTAACCCGGCCAGAACCGACGGTACTGGGACTCATCTTCTAGCGGATCTCCCATCCTGGCCTCACGTACTTCTATTCTCGAAACTATTCCTCTTGTGATCGCCAACTCCCCTAAACTGACACCGAAGTCCACTGTTGGCACTTTTGAGTCTATCTTTTTCTTCGCTCGGTCCTTCATCGTCAACCACCCCATACTCTTCGTTCTCATCCTGATCGTCTCCATTGTTGGTGCGACATTGTTGGCTCGAGCCAGGGGCCGTCGTGCCGGCCGCGGTGGCATTCTCGGTGTCACTAACGGCAGCAATGGTTTCTTTCACCTTGATGGGAAAGAAGGTCTGCTGAATGGCGGCTCAACCGGCAAGGTAGATTAGTCGACGGTGGATGACCCAGAAGTATCATCTGTACAGTTATTATATTTATTTCCACCTCTTTTTCTCCCTTGACGTGTCCCTCCATCCTTCATTTCGCTCGTGCTCATTTCAACTGGCTTTTCTCTTGGTTTGTAAGGTTTTTAACTGTGTCCTATATCTTGGTATTGATGATGCCCTTCATATATCTCATTCCATTTTTACATTGATCTCCTGGTTTAGGCGGCGTTCGGGCGAGTGTTGTGCTGTCGGCAAGCTCCTCCATAATTTGTACCAGACACGCAAGTGCCTCCTTAGTACCTATACAGATTACAAAAAGCTATCGTTCTACGTTACCAGCGGAGTAATGATGAAGTGTAGTGTAGGGTTTAGGGCTGTACAAGCAATGTCCAGATGCCAACTGGTTGCCCTGATGGGCGCCAAAGAAATAAAAGGAAAGACAGAAATAGCTTGAAGGTTTAGATATCATGGAAATGTTTAGATTTTACTAATGACCACATCTGATATTCAAGTATCTCATACAATGCGCAAGGCACTCGAACCACTAACCGCGTTGATCTCGAATGTAAAAGCGAGGCTCTGATTCGACAGTCCAGGTATTTCACGTGATGGTCAATTGGCGGGCGGTGATTGGCTATCGGGTTGCCGCAAGCATTGTGAACGTCGCGGAGTCTCCCGGTTTTCTACGACTGCCTTGAATCTCGATTGCTGCTGTCAATTATCGCTTTATTAGAACTGTTCTTGCTTAGATCCTGCTTCTAAGTCTATAGACAAGATGGCATGTGTACCCCTGTCTAAAATATCTCCGTTTTAGTTGGGTCGAAAGCCCGTTCACTCTCCAAGGGCTCAGGTTATGAGTGTGATGTTCAATCGCACCGACCGTCAGCAGAGAAACCATATGAAACTAGCCAATTGCTAACCACCGTGTTCTTATAGTTCTCTCAGACCCTTCGTCGTGCTGCGGCCCAGACTGCTGGTGCCTACCGCTCTCCTTTCGCTCCCAAGTGAGATCCTCCGAACCTTCAATTGACAGTACCGTATCACGATATGCACATGGGGTGTACCTGTACTCTGAGCCTGGCCTGGTTTGGTCTTGGAAATGGTGTTTTGATCGACCTTCAGCTCTGAGCGTGCGGCCAGCAAAGGCAGCCCACGCCGTATCGCCAGGGTTGAGACCTACATTGTTGCCGGCGGGCAGGGCAGCCCAATGAAATCGTTGAATACGCAACCAAAATGATGAGGGAGGCTTGCTAATTCGAGTCCTTGATGATCTTCAGGTACACTACTCCTCTCAACTTCCACGGTGTGACCGTTGGCGCTGCTACCAAGTAGTGAGTACCACCTGTTTTATACTCCCATGCATCTCTCCCCCATTCCGGCGGGATCCTCTACTCCTTCATTATTCGAGTCGTACTGACTGCGTTGCGATCACAGTGCCCAGATTGCCGCTACTTTCGGTGCCAGCGCTGGTGTCTTCGCCATCTTCTTCTTCGGTGAAGTTCCCCGTGTCCGCAACGATATCCTGCGTCAGCTTCCCTTCTTCGACCAGTACTTCGACCGCACCATTGCCCCCGAGGACAACGTACGTACCCGCTTTCTCCTAGGATTGCCGATTCGGGATGTTGATGTGCTAACAATCATGTAGCCCTTCTAAACGTTTCCTTACGAAGTACGATCCCTCAGCCATATCCTACTCGCAGGGATTTATGTTTGCGCATATGCTCCCTATCAGCTATATAGTGGAGGAAGGAGTCGGTTCTGTACTGTGTAGAATAGCAGCGATGAATTGTGACAGCACATAGACACGCCTCCTTAATTATCACTTCCTTTGTTTCTGTTTGGCTGTTGGGTACTGCAAATGGACCTCCGGGGATCGCCGCGTTTCGGGGATACCGGGGACGTCCAAAGCAAACAATCCTGCTAAATGTAGGGACCGATATCTGTGCTCAATGATGGTTGATAGCCTGGCGACAAAAGATATCCACGGCCAGGGTTTCCCATAAGGGCAGGTCCAGCCTACTGTACTATCAAAGTAAGAATGGTTTGCACTAAGGAAGACTGATTGGATTAATAGGCGTTATCATGTCGAATAAGAATCGTCCCGTAATTTGGGTTATCTTTTGGATGCTACTCTTATCAAGGTTGAACGTCCGTCCGTCGACACGCCACCGTCTCGGACTGATAAGAAACCCCGACATTTTGTGTCTTGGGCCTCCTTACTGAGGGCAAGCGAGGTCGAAGCTATGTGACCAACCTTCTTTGAATGTGGCGCCGCCTGAAACTGCCCTGCTGAGTATGGACGATGCGGCTAAGCTTTGGAGAGCTGTGCGGAGTAGACTGATGTTGCTGCACGATGAATGGTTCACTGCATCACAAGGAGAGTGTGACCAGGTGCCAAGCAACCAGCAACCCCCCACCTGCGAATTCCTCCCAGCTTCCCCATCCATGTCATTTGCAGATTACTAGTATCGAACTTAGCATCAGCCAAAGAGAATGCGTCTCCTCATCGCGGCGTCGGCTCCGGAAGGGGTGGGTACTCTTCCCCCCGTGCAGGGTGCATGGTTACTTTGAGATCACCATCGTTCCGCAGCTCCAGCCCTGGACATATCTATATCTATATATATTGCATCCCTCCACCTTCCGCAGTTCACCGTTGAAGTTGTCACTGAAACGCTATACTTGTGTCACTGCAGCGTCACAAACCTTGAGTCCCCCAGCGACAGTTCCGTGGTCAGCTTGGAATGACCGGTTATCTTATATCCTCCGCCTCTACAGGAATCCCTGTCTCTCGGTCGAAAAAACCTCCTAGCTCGAAATCGATCCTCGATTGCCAAGAACAACATCGTCATCATGTCTTCCGTGGACAAGTCGACGCCTGTATATAAGGCCACCTCGAAGGGGTCAGTATACGCCGATGTGGACCATGACCCGGTCACCACGGTGCTGCCCAATGGCGACGTGCCTTATACGGACCATGCCATGGACGCGGATGAGCGGGTCATTGTAGCCCTGGGGTACAAGCAGGAGTTCAAACGAGAGTTCTCGCTATGGACTACATTCTGCGTCAGCTTTGCTGTGCTTGGGCTGCTCCCATCGTTTGCCAGCACAATATACTACGGTAGCTACTCTGACGCCGAGGGAATTCTCGCGGGCTGACATCCGTCCAGGGATGGGCTATGCGGGCACAGCAGGCATGGTTTGGGGTTGGATCATAGCTATGCTTTTCATCCAGTGTGTAGCCATGTCAATGGCTGAACTGTGTTCGGCGATGCCAACAAGGTACGCTCGCTTCATCTTCTTTCGCACCGACCAAACAAGTAGTCTGGTCTTCCTCTATCGAAACTGACATCCCCAGTGGCGGTCTCTACTATGCAGCTGCAGTACTCGCACCTCCAGGATACGGACCATTCGCGGCATGGATCACTGGGTGGTCCAACTGGATTGGACAGATTACAGCAGCACCGTCGGTGGACTTTTCACTGGCTGCGATGATCCTGGCTGCAGCGTCGGTACAAAACCCAGACTACGTTCCTACTTCTTGGCAAACATTTCTCCTTACCACACTTATCATGATCCTCCACGCGGTAATCAGCAGCATGCCAACGAGATGGGTTGCCCAGTTTAACTCGTGGGGCTCAACTTTCAACATGTTTGCGCTCATCGCTGTCCTCATCGCCATTCCGGCAGGGACGAAGAATGAACCCAAGTTCACCCCGTCCAAGGAAGTATGGGGGACAATCACCAACTTGACTGACTTTCCAGATGGGGTCGCGGTGCTCATGACCTTTGTCGGGGTGATCTGGACCATGTCTGGGTATGATTCTCCGTTCCACCTAAGTGAGGAGTGTTCCAACGCAAACATCGCCTCTCCGCGGGCCATCGTGATGACTTCGGGCGTCGGGGGCTTGATGGGCTGGTTCTTGCAGCTTGTAGTCGCTTACACCGTCACTGATATCGAGGCGGTGATAGACTCTGATCTTGGGCAGCCTTGGGCGTCATACTTGTTACAGGTGATGCCACAAAAAACCGCCCTGGGAATACTCGCTTTAACGATCATCTGTGGGTTCTCGATGGGCCAAGGATGTATGGTTGCCGCATCGCGAGTCACGTACGCCTATGCCCGCGACGACTGCTTTCCTCTGTCAGGGATCTGGAAGAAAGTTGACAGTCGCACCCAACGCCCGTGAACGCTGTCATCGTAAACGCCGTCCTCGGGATCCTGATGTGCCTCTTGATCCTCGCCGGGGATGTAGCGATTGGCGCTCTCTTCTCGATCGGTGCCATTGCGCAGTTCGTTGCCTTTGCGATCCCCATTTGCATTCGGGTGTTCTTCGTTGGTAACCGTTTCCGGCGGGGACCATGGCACTTGGGGCCATTTGGCCCATACATTGGAGGCGCGGGCGTGCTCTTTGTGCTGCTGATGGTGCCCATTCTGTGCCTTCCCAGTGTAACAGGGGGTGACCTGACACCGGATCTGATGAATTGGACGTGTCTTGTCTGGGGCGCTCCGATGCTGGCGGTGAGCATCTGGTGGGTGGTCGACGCCCACAGGTGGTTCAAGGGACCAAAGGTCAATGTGGAGCATGCCATCCACCCCGTGCAGGAGGAAAGGCCCGTTGTTGTTGATGTGGGGTTCAATGGCGGCGAAGAGGAAGATACGTCCGGCAGGTCGGACCGAAGTCAGGGCTGAAAGAGCATGCATGCCCTTGGACGTACATCTATGAAACTATCTGTCTAATTTCGTTTTTTTATCTTATATATCACAGTCAGGTTTGCAACGTACGCATGTAGTATATCAAATGACGGTATCTTTCTGCTCTCATACACACCGGTATTCCGAAATGTACATGATATCAATCCACAGACAATCTGAAGCTGAAACCAAAGCTGTGCGCTGCTACTGGCAGATCGTTAGCCAAACGGTGAAATGAAGCGAGGCGCCGGATCGACATGTCACAATGTCCTAATTGGGGAAACGATCGAAGCCACAACCAAGGCATTCGACTGCACTCCCTGAATATCGAATCCTACCCTGCAGGTGAACACAGCGAGAAGCAGATCGCCTTACATATCTCGACTGTATCCAGTTGCCTACACCATCACGGATCTGAGCTCAGGCATAGATATCAGGCCAGGGGACAGAGCGAGGGACCGTCCTGTACTTGAGGGAAATGATGAGAAAAGCTGAATATACTGTTTGTCAATGCGAGCCATACTCTTGGTGGGATCATGCCGTAGTCTATAGAAAGCGATACCTTAGAGAGAATCTGTCTTGGCCAGTTCGTCAGTACAAGAGAACTATTTGGTAAAACTATCGTTCTTACACAACCTCTCGAGTGCACATCCAATACTGAACCAAATATATCTTCCTTCTTCTATTTATAACCGGAATTCCAAAAATAAGCTGGATTCAGAAAACACCCAGTGGTGCCAGATACCTCGACAAACAACCAACTCAACCGGCGAGCTGTGTATGTATATCGATAGCATACCGCATCCAATCCCAGTCCACGAGCGTAAACAGCCTCATATCGAACCCTTTAAAACCCACACTGCACTGACATCATCACAAACAGAACACTCTCTCCCTCTCGTAGCGCATAACCAAGGAAGAAGAGCCACCAGCAGCCTCTTCCGGCACCGCCTCGCAACACAAAACCACCATCCACATGAGAGGTCACATCCACACGCCTCCACGTCCAGCAGCAGCAGCAGTATACCGGTACACAACCGCTACATCACCGCGGATAAGTCCGATGCACGAAGGTTGCGTGCCAACCTATCAGCGGCGCGCATCCAGCTGCAACCGTCCTTGCATCGCGTCGTTAGCCTGGCGCACAAGCCCTCCCTTGGTCCTATACTTTGCGCCGAGGTACCTGGTACACTGCATGCTATCGGATCTGGATTGCGACGGCGCCTGCAGATAAGAACGACGTGCGTCATTTCGGTGGTCCTTCCTTGCATATCGTGTATGCATGGTCATAGGGGAATGTATGACGAAGTATGTTCCTCCTATGGAAAGAAGGGATATGGATTCCGTACTACGTACTTTGTATACTTTCGCGATAGATGGGGGGCGGGCATTCTAGAAGAACTCAAGCCAACTGACAACCTCGAAACTTACTTCCCTGGATCCACTGAGTCCGCTATTCTGCACAGAATCGAGTGCAGACACACCTAGCTATAAAGTATAGTATCATACTAACTTATATAGATATATATATAAAAACCAACCCATGCATCACCGAATACACCCTTTGATTAAAACGTAGTACAACAAACAGTCCATCATCCCATCTCCCCCTACCTATACCTATACCTACCGACTACCTACGCGTAGAAACACAAAGAGTATCGTAACTCACCAAATCACCCAACCCAACACTCCTCTTTCTCTCAACACATTGAATAACAATCCTCACCTCCAAGCTCCACAAACCCCCCCCACAACGGCTCATTCCAAAAGCCGCTCTACCCATATCCTTCCCCCCGAAAACAAATCAAATCAAACCAAAAATAAAACCCAAAAACCCCTCAAAACGAACCCGACTCCAGTGCGCAATTCTGCAGGTACAAGAAACATGCACATATTGCACAATCGGGCTTGGCCCATTTCCCCTCTAACCGAGCCGAATGCCACCCACATGA